ACGAGTCAAAATGTCAAAATTGTCAAATGGTCTATGCATTAATGGTATATATTATATAATACTTATTAAATATTAATATTTGATACATAAATACATTTAAAAATAAAATAATTTTTTTATTAAGATTATAAACGGGTTGGCGGGTCAACCCGTTTATTTGTTGAGAAATACATATATGACTCGTTTAATAAACGGGTTGGCGGATTGAAAAACTCAACCCAAACCCATTTATTTTGTATCGTGTCGCGGGTCGTGTCGAGAATTGTCAGCCTTAGATATAACTAATATGCTTTATAATATAGTATAAGATATATATATATATATATATATATATATATATATATATATATATATATATATATATATATATATATATATATATATAGAGAGAGAGAGAGAGAGAGTGTGTGTGAGAGAGAGAAAGAAAGAGAGAGAGAGAGGTTTCGTTTAAATTCCGTAAAAAATAGAGATTTTAAGATTCAATTTGAACCACATATTTTCATTTGCCATTACACTTTAGTGTACAAGTACAGCATGATAGTTTTACTTATAAATGGTTATATAGCGTCTTTTGTTTCTTTTTTTCCTTGCCAAAATCCGCACCGCAACTATAACCATCACCTCATCTGCCACCAACAACCATAATCGTATATGATAAATATATCACTTTGTAAACAGACATATATACCTAATCAAGGAAAACTAAAAACTTTCTACAAGGATTAGTAAGAGTGTGTTTGTTCCTTAGTTTTTCTATTGAATTTATTTTTACCCTAAACACTTCCCATTGACCAATTTTCTCTCTCTCTCTCTCTCTTTGAGATGACAAAATATTAATCAAAATATTTTTTTACATACAATAGAAATTATTAAAAATTATTAAAGTTTAAAAATATATAACATTAAGTTAGGAGAAAAAGATAAATAAGACTAATCATGTTAACCGTATTTTAGAATTTAAGCAAAAATTATTAATATTTACTGGACCAAAATATCTTCGATTTTCGCATATGACACCTGCAAAAATCTCTAAAATAACATCATTTTGAAGATTTTCAATATTGTGAAATCTCAGTTATTTGCAAAAATCATGACTATTTTGGTCAAATAACTATTTTTTCTTAAATCTTAGAAAGTGTGTCATGAGATTTGCATGATTTTTCTTTTTCTTTTAAATTAAATATTCAATTTATATATTGTTTATCAATAAATATTAATTTTTCTTTATAGCTTCAATAAGTAGTTTTTTTAAGGGAAAATGACACTTACGCCCTTTAAAGTTTCTAGGGTTGACCATTTTAGTCATTTAAGTTTTTTCGTGGCTTTATGAGGGAACAAAGTTGTGGGCAACCTGTCTTTTTAGTCCCCTTAACTTGTTTTAGCCGGTTTAAGGGACATATAGACAAAACTTGGGGCTCATCCATCTCTCTCTCTCTCTCTCTCTCTCTCTCTCTCTCTCTCTCTCTTTCTCACACACACACATTGCATTTCATCTCACTGTTGCTTTAATGTGATGGAAACAACGGCTTCACCCACGACTATGGAGGATTGCTGTGTCAAAGTAGCAGTACACATAAGGCCTCTAATCGGAGATGAAAAGCTTCAAGCGTGTAAGGATTGTGTCGCTGTCGTCCCTGGGAAACCTCAGGTTAAGGAATTGCCCACTCACTCATCTCCTAATTGTCTCTTCCTTCGCTGATTGTTGATTCCCTAATTTGGTTTAAGTTTTTGGTGGCGTTGATTGGTCTAAGAGATAAATGAATCTGAGTTATGAGAGATCCAGTAGATCTCAAATGTGAAGTACCGCAATTACTATCACTTCTACCACTACGATTACGCATCAAATTTCTCTTTAGTTTAACTTATTTGGGGGAAATTTGAAGAGCCATCCAAGATGCATGTTTATGACTGTGATAGTATTGTTCGTGATCTGAGAACTAACTTAACTTTTAGTTGTGATGGTGCTTTCTGGAAGTGTTTTTTGTCATTAATTGGGAAGGTGCATGTGCAATTAAGATTTATTGCAGATTAACAATCTCCGGCATAATGAACTTTCCGGTGAGGAGGCAAATGGCGGGGAGATTGATTGGAGCTGATCCGTTGAAAGCGGGACTGTGCCGACTGAAAAAGATCTCGACTGAGCCCAGGGCCCACCGGAGGACTTGGTTTAGATGATCCGAGAGATTGATTGGAGCTGATCCTTTGAAAGCGGCTCGTTTTGGCATACAGTATGTCGACCTCCATCCACGGCAACAACAGTGATAATGGGTGGGTGTGGGTTGTGTTGGCAGCCCAAGAGAACACGAATCACACGATGGTAGGTGCTGGAGTCGATTACAATTCAGTGGGAGGGAGGGAAAAATTGACTTTCACAAAGTCCAAGTAATCTATAGAAAAGTTGACTTTCACAATGTGTCAAAGAAGTAACCGGGTGACTCCTTCATTTTAGCCAAAAGGATGTAATCGAACCGACAAACACAACTTCGTTCCCTTATAAGGCCACAAAAATTGTTTAGGGACTAAAAAGATCAACCCTAGAAACTTTATAAGGCGTGTGTGTCATTTCCCCTTTTTTAATACTATAAGTAGCCTAAGAAAAAATTAAAGTAAACTTAGCATTTCATTTAATCCGTTAAGTACCATTTAGTTATAAAAAAACAAACAAACTTTTTGAGATGTAGTAATTAATAAATAAGTTGAAGAGTTATGGAGTTCTCAAATAAATAAGGTTCAAGATAGAAATTACCAGGTGAAAAGTAGGGCCTCTTAGAGATATACTAAGTACGTTTAAAGGTCATGTTAAGTATGATCACGAAGGGTAATTTAGGAATTTCATTCATCATTGTCTATGGATAATCACGAACTGAAGAAGATCCTTTTGATTACATCAAATGTTTAACAATTTGGCTTTAAGAGTCGAACCGATAAAGGTTGTCCTAACCCATCCGCCAATACGATTCCATCAGTCATTCAGTCCAAATAAAAGACAACTCGATCAACCAACGCACGAACGATCACCAAGTCCACTTCACTCCAAGTGATTGCTACGAACCAAACCGTATTCATACATCACATTCGGCCCCAACCCAACCTACGATCTACCCAAGTATTACAAATGTTATGGACCACTCACAACCCTTCACCCAATCATGCGATGATCCAAATCATCCTAGAGAATGCTACGAGCCAAGTTGTAGGCTTCCATCACTGTCACAACCGCCTACCAACCTGGTGAATGTTACTGTTGCTCCGTAGTCTTACAACACTTCCACAACCACCTACCTACTAACTGAATGCTACGGTGGCTCTACAATCTTACAACACTTCCACAACTGCATACTAACCTAGTGAATGCTACAGTTGCTTCGTAGTCTTACAACACTTCTACAACCGCCTACCAACCTAGTGAATGCTACGGCTGCTCTACAGTCTTACAACACTTCCACAACCACATACCAACCTAGTAAATGTTATGGTTGCTCCGCAGTCTTACATCACTTCTACAATTGTGTACTAACCTAGTGAATGCTACGGCTGCTCTGCAGTCTTACAACACTTCCACAACCGCATACCAACCTAATGAATGCTACGGTTGCTATGTAGTCTTACAACACTTCCACAACCGTATACCAACCTAGTAAATGCTACAGTTGCTCTGCAGTCTTACATCACTTCCACAATTGCACACTAACCTAGTGCATGCTACGATTGCTCCCCAGTCTTACAACACTTCTACAACTGCATACCAACCTAGTGAATGCTACGGTTGTTCCGTAGTCTTACATCGCTTCCACAGCCACATACCAACATAATGAATGCTACGACTGCTATGCAGTCTTACATCACTTCTACATCCACCATGGGCCTACGTAACATCCTGAAAATCATGACATAAAAATTTATGTTTTTAGATTAATAAATCATTAATACATTTCTTTCTTATAAAACCAAGGTAACTAAGAGTTAGCAAAAACATCATTAAATCTGATTAATTCACAGAATGCAGAAACATGTGGTGTGTGCCCTACACAAGGGTGTCAATTTATGACACGACACAACAAAAATACACGAAACGAAACGAAATCGGAACGAAATCAAAACTATAATTCATGTTCGTGTCGTGTTCGTGTCAAGATTAAAAAACACGATGTTGTGTCGTATCGTGTTCGTGTTCATAAATTAACATGAAATTGACACGATTAAGCATTTGGTTGTCGGGTTTTTCGTGTTTGTCGTTTTTATCGTGTTATATATCTTTAAGTTTTAATGAAATACACTAATAATTGCGTAATATTATCTTTGTCGTATCGTGTTTTCGTGTTTTAATTGGTTCGTTTTCGTGTTAATGAAAAAAATATGATATCGTTTCGTGTTCATGTTATACAAAACCTTGTCGTGTCGTGTCAGACAAAAACACGGCACGACTGGCCGATTTGACAACCCTAGCCCTACTATACATATGGTGCCTTAATGATATTTCCTCTTTTCCATTTTAATTTTCAACAAAACACTGTCAATAAACGGAATCTAAGTGCAGTTTTGCCATATTCTAACGAATTCAACATTCCTCAAAACTAAGTAACAAATCAGTGAGCTTGCGGCTTCTGATCCATTTTTATTATTTAAATCTCTTGGTTAAATGTCTTACTCTTAGACAAATTAATTTTTTTTTATTTTATTTTTTTTCAATTTGATGAACCAAACCTAAAATAACAAAAAAGTGGTTTCTTTTAAACCAAAAATGGTAAAAAAAATTACTAGTTTTCTATTTATCTTCTTGTTTTGGTTTCCAAGACACCATAAAACACATATGACAGTAAAAACTGTTCATGAAACAAGGTATGGACCACATCGATTCCAATTTGTGATCCTTATCCATAGCAAATATGACTTGATACCAAACCAACCCAAGCCAAATTAACAACCAAATTTACGCATAAAGAGATGAAATTGAAAAGGAAATAGATGCAAACGATTTTAAATTTTAAACAACGATCAATGAGATCTTCCAAGGAGATGCATTCACGATAACATATAAAACAACAAACCAACATAACATCTTTAGTCTTTACCCAAGTTTGAGACAAAAAAAATGGAAATGACCCACAAGTATTTACAGGTGTATTAAAACACAGGTAAATGTCATCCCCAAGATTGGATAAAGCCATCAGCAGAATATTGATTAAAAACTTGCATTACCTTGTCTAAAGGTCCATAAACATGTCCAAAAAAATGTTCAGGGCAACAACCAGTCAGCTACACCTTCAAAAAGAATATCAACCACATCAGTATCTCCAATTGCAAAATTTACAAGTGATTTTTGAAATATACCTTCATAAATGACATTTAGAAAATGAGTAAATAACAGCACTCTTTGAGAAATGAGAAAAAAGAAAGAGTAAAAAAAAAGTGTAAGACTCACCTTTCTGTCAAAAGATCATCCAAACAAAGCCATGAAAGTCATCATGTCGTCCAAGTCATCAATGTCAATAGAATCATCATCACTACCAAAGAGATCGGGTTTAACATTGTTTATGTAATCATAATGATAAGGATTTGTGTAGTCATCATAGTCGAAGTACTCATCATATTCATAATCAGAATCACCAGAGACAAAATCTTGAGGCAGATCATAACTATCATCACACCTCAGACAAAATGGCAATCCTTCAAGAGAATCATTAGGTAGTTTTACACATTTAATCGTATCTAAACATTTCTTCCCAAACTCTCCCTTGAGATCAAGGTATAAGCATTGACGCAAGTCAAGTGATTCAAGATGAGGACACCCATCCAAAATTGCTAGCAACCCAATATTTGACATGGTGTTTCCAATGAGTTCAAGGTGCCTTAACTGTGGTAAGTTTTTACCAATAGCAACAGCCATCTGATTTCGGATCCTTAAAGACTCCTCATCACTGTCTTCATCAGAAAACCTAAAAAAGTTTTGATTTACTTTCAAAGTTCTTAGCATGGGGCAACAATCACCAGCACCTATAATATCTTCTTTTGAGATCTCTGTTGTGCAGAGACTCAGTTCCTCCAATAAAGGAAATTTCTTCAAAATTTCAGTCCAGCCATCATAAAATTCACCAAAGCAATAGGTGATATCAAGACGTCTAAGCTGACTTGATCTGTTAAACCAATAAAAACAATAAGCTCACATACCTATCAGCACAAATGAACGATATAATAAGCTCACATACCTATCAGCAATATACCAAAGAAGATCATGATTAGCAAAATGCACAAGGGTAAGATCAACCAATTGGCCTTGGCTTCTATCCACAGCATGTTTACACATCTGTTGTAATGGGGGCCTTGTATATGGATCTGAATGATTCTCCATATAAATGACTCTCCACATCGCAGGGTCATTGCAGATATTACGCCAAGTAGTGCAAACCTTCTGGGCATTCTCAAGTATGTCAAAAACACCAACCTTGTATAAGATGTTTGCCATTACATCAGATGGGAGCTCCAACCAATTCCTTTTCGGTTCCTTCACACGCCATTGTTGCTTTGGTTTTGGAACGAACTTGAAATTCTTAGGTTTTCGTCGAGTTGACTTTGATGTGGAGGGCATCGTAACTTAAACATGTACAAAGCAGAATTAGTTTGAACCTTCACAAACTGGATGTTGGATATAAATACATGAAATCAAGCGTCAATACAGTGGGAATTTTATAAACACAAACGGAATAAAAATTGATTTAGCGCTCCATATCCACTTTAACCAGGAATGAGGGCATTATCGATAATCAGAATAGGTCGAAATGAAAATGTAAAAACCCTAGAGCTACTGAACATGGAAAAATGAAGAAAACGTCTATTAAAACTTGTAAGAAATTAGGAGATGTTGAATAAAAGATAAACGTACATAACGGTGGTGAAGAAGAGAATGGTATCTCTGATTTCCGATAGCCTTTGCAGCTTCCGATAAACGAGCGAGTAAGGATGCAAATATATAGAAATTGTAGGAGACAAGAACAGTGTTGGTGGCGACGTGGCGTTGCTGGAATTTGAAATGAAGTTCTTACTCATAGACTAGGGAAAAAAAACCCGAACCTAACGGGGAAACTCAAAACCCGATCATTTCGGGTTGGATAACGGGTTGTTATCGGATTTTTTATCGGGTTCGGGGCAGGAAGTGGGTTATCCTCGTCCCGACCCGCCCCGCCTCGATTGTATATATATATATATATATATATAGGAGGGTTCATGCGAAAATGCAAATAATTTGCGAAAACGCTAAAACAATAAAAACATATGATATTATGTCACCTCAACATTATATTTTGGAAAATAATTCATCCAAACTTTGAAATACATGATGATAATCGATGATAGATGATAAACTGTTTCATATTAGCAAAGTATGATTTTTAACATTTTTATTATGAAAACATGAATTTAAAAATGATTAAAGATGTGAAAAAAATATAATTATAAAAAACCGTCTTTAAATCTATATTACCATAACACCATCCAATTCAAACTTACTATCTTTAATTTATTGCTAATAAAATTACTTTTTTATAGTACATTTGTTTAATTTTCATAAGATAAAATCTGTTTTCGCAGGATATTTATATTTTCGCATGAACTTACTTCTATATATATATATATATATATATATATATATATATATATATATATATATATATATAATGTTCAAAAAATTTTGTTGTTAATTGTACACGTTCAAATATAAAATACTTATCGTGGACAATTTTTTTAGTTATTAACAATCTGGTGTTAATGATCATTTTTATGTGTTTTGACGTATTAAACAAAACTTAAATCAAATAATTTTTTATATAACGTCCAGTTTATTTTATTAAAGTGATGCATCATGTTTTTAATTTAAAAGAGTTGCTAGAACATGTATATTTTATAAGACATTAGGGTACCCTAAAAGAGAATAAAGATTTCATTATCAATTGTTGTAAACCCGATAAGATACCCGAAACCCGACGGGGAAACCCGAAATCCAATGGGGCGCCCCGATAAAATACCCGAAAGTTATCGGGGTGGGTTTGGGAATCCATGCCCCGCCCCGAACCCGCCCCATTGCCATTCCTATCATAGACTAGACCGCATAGAGATTAAGGCCCGATCCGTGGTCACTTTCTAAAAAAACCGGCCTTTGGTAAAGTTATCTTTTAGAAAAAAGAAAAAAAAAATAGTTATTTAAATATGTTTGTGTCGCTCTAACAAAAAAAAAGTCTGGTTTTCATTTTCTTTTTGTCATCCATTTTTTTTTAAGGTCATCCGTTATACCCATCACATACCGCATATATGGTGGGTGCCACATCAGCACCACAATTATCTACCACTAATATGGGATACCTAACACTAAGACAACACTCCACATCATTATTTTTATTTATTTTTAATTCAAAAATACAGTAAAATTACATTTTTTATAATTAAAAAACATTCATTTTTTAAACTAGTGTTTCATTAATTATAAAAATAAAATTATAACTTTAAACTACATTACTTAGTTAATTTAGAAAAAAAAATTACATTAATTAAAAAAACAAAGAAACATATATATATATATATATATATATATATATATATATATATATATATATATATATATATATATATATATATATATATAAAACCTAATCATCGTTCATGCTATGTTGGTATAAATGTTCTGCGATATCTTCTCGAAGATTGAAACACGTTTCACTGTTATGAATTTCAACAACTCGCTCTAAAAACACATTCGTTCCCGGTACGAACTCCTCAATTGGAACGACAACGTCGTTCGGATCATACGTGCAAATCGCTCGACCTTCATTTTCGATAATGATAATATGCATTATAATACATGCTAGGACCATTCGTTTAATTCTTTCTTTATCCCAGAATCGTGTAGCATATTTCACTAAATGTCATGTCTGCTTAAGGACTCCAAATGCCCTCTCGATATCCTTTCTCGCCGATTCCTGTTTTTTTGTAAAAAAAACTTTGCCTTTTCACTTCGAGGAACTGAGTATGCCTTCATCAATGTAGAATAACCCGGGTATATCTCATCACCAAGGTAGTAACCGTATTTGTATGCGTGCTCGTTCACCGTGAACGTCATATCAGGTGCTTTGTCGGTCAAAATATCGTTGAAAATTGGAGACTGACCAAGAACATTAAGATCGTTGTTAGACCCCGCTACTCCAAAAAAGGCATGCCATATCTACAAATCTTGAGATGCAACAGCTTCTAGGATGATAGTTGGTTCACCTATATCTCCTCAAGTGAACTGACCACGTCATGTAGTTGGACATCTTTCCCAAGCCACATGCGTACAATCTAGACTGCCAAGCATACCCGGAAATTCATGCCTCTCTTCATGAGCCGAATATAATCTCTCAATATCACGTTGAATAGGTTTGCGCAAATATTCTTCGTGAAAAACCTCATAAACACATGCAGAAAACCAATCTACACATTCAACGGCGGTCCTCTCGGATACTTTCAAGTATTCGTCAGATGCATCGAATGTTATACCGTATCCAAAATACCTAATAGCAGCCGCACATTTTTGTATACTACTACAACCCATTCTTCCTCTAGCGTCGGGTTTTTGTTTGAAAAAATCATTACAAGATTCTAAAGCATTACTAATACGTAAAAATATAGCCTTATTCAAACGGAAACGACGTTCGAAGGAGTCGTCATTATAAAGACAATTATCGGCAAAGTAATCACGTACCAATAAGTCGTGTGCGGCTTGGCGATCACAATTGACGACCGCCCTTGGACGAGCTGCATTCGAACTTTCTTCGTCGTGAATGTGTTGCACAACGTTGAAGAATGTGTCGACGAATTCTACGCCGTCATCCGAGTCAAAAGTTTTTAGAAATTCAATATGCTTTGTAGAATCCATGTATATGTGTTTTGTAGTTGTAGAGAATGAAGATTAGAATGAGGTATAAGTTTTGGTGAAAATAGAAGGTTTATTTATATAGTGAATTGAGTTTGAAAAAAAAAACAATCATAATAGCTGTTCAACGGCCAAATAAACCCACAACCAATCATGTTCTCCGTTTGATTTCGTCGTCGAAAACACGGAAGAGCACGACCACGCCCGACCACGGAATGTCGGGGTGGTGTGGATGAAAAGTTTTCGTGGCCAGCTAGACCACGAATTGCTTCGTGGTATGTATACCACAAGGTTTAATGTCAGCGGTTTATATAACTATTTCTTTTTTGTTTTTTTAAAGAAAAAAAAATCTTACAATTTTTATCAATAAACTGACAAGTTTTTTTTTCCAGAAAAACCATTAAATTTACAAAAAATAATAATAATAATAATAAATCAGAAAATACATTAATGATGTATAAAGATTTTAAAAAAGAGTTCAAAGTTTTTACAAAGTTACATTGAGATGAGATCTAAATGACAATATATGTTTATATAAGAAAAGGTGGAGCCGCGTGTCCCTTTTTATTTGTGGCGATTTACACTTTCAACACATCTTTTAAAGTTTGTCAATTTTCAACTTCTATGACATAGTCCAAAAAAGGTGGAGCCGCGTGTCCCTTTTTAGTATATATTAAATCCAAGGGGGGCTTAGCGATAGTATCCTTTTTAGTATTTAATCTTGATTTCTTGCCTTATGGTAGCACAACTGCCCACCACGTCTTCCAAGTACTTAAGCAGCTCACTTTTTACTATCAATGTACCTTTCATTGATTAATGTGTCTTGCCTTTTATGCGTTCAAAATGAGAACTCATAGGACTCACATACATAATTAAGTAAATTGGAAACAGCACAGAAACAAAATAATGTTAACACGATAGGTTGTAAACCTCAACTCGTGTGCTAGTGATGATCGATAAGGTTTATTTGATTTGTTCTTGAAACTTTTCGAGACCATTAGGACTCCCACTGACTCCCTGACATATAAGATTCTTTTGTTAATAAACAATTCTTGACAAACAAATATTCAAGAGTTAGTGTAGTTTTTATCAAAACACTTCATAAATTGGTCCTAGTCGGTCTTTGTCTTATTCAAGACATCACAACTTTCCACATTTGATGAATGTTATAAACCTTTAATACTTTTCACTCATTGTCACAATCTTAACTTTAAGACTTGTTATTGGAACGAAGTATGATAGACTTCTTGATTTAACCATTTCTTCAATCCTTGATTCCTCTTCTTAAACATACAATTGTACTAAGACTCACTTAGAGGATCAATTGAGATATGGTTCTTAATCATTAAGATCTATCATAAAGCATAAAAGCTACTCTCCCTTCTTCTTAGAATGGAGAAACTTTTATCTTTCTGCCTACTTGATTCTTCTTATTCGTTCTACTATTGATCTAAACCCTTTAATCAATTCAGAATTACACTTAATCTTGTAAGTGTAATCATATTTACTAAGCCTTTAGTAAATCATGACGAATATCTTTGTTACTCTTATGGTGAACTTGATCAACACACAACTTTGTGTACTCGATCTCCTAGTCCTTCACTTGACACTTTGTCAACGAATTTGTCTAATTTCCAAATATGAAATTTCTCATTCATCATGCAACCAAGTTGCGTGATTCCAAATTTGTCCAATTGAAACTTTGGGCGATGAGAAACTCTCCCTATTTGGTAAATTCTCGACATTTCCATAAATACATAACTAAGAATCATATCCATTCGTTGTAGAAATATGCAAACATCAATTTTCATAACGATTTCATTGCAAGGAAGTAAACAAATAAATAAATAAGTCAAAAAAATTTATTTTATTTATAAAAGCAGCGGAAAAACATTTGTCCTTACAATGCAAAATCTATTGAAAACTATGTAAAAGGAAAATTTCTAACAACTCTATCATAACTATCTAAGCTCAAAATCCAATCTTCAAGTCCATGCGATCGAGATCCATCTCTTGTGATTAGATTCATCTTGCTCTCTTATCAAGCTTCCTTTCTTTTCACCGATCCTTCAAAACATTCAAATGCAATCTTATCACATCATGTATTAAGAATCAATGAATAGGAACTT